TATCAACATCAATAGCAAAAATCCCATTGGATTAGGTCACTGATTCTCAACCATCCTGCAAGGTAGGCAAGGAAATATTATATTCATATTTTTACTGAGGAAACAGACACGGAGAGGCTAAGCCCAACATTTTTACAAAAATGTCAAAAATTGTCATAAATACCAAAAATGTCATAAATACCAGAATTGGAGCCACCCCAGATTAGTACAATTTTTGAAGATTTGGACCTAAGTGACGTCCCTAAGGCTCCCCAAGTAAGTGGCAGAGCCAGGATTAAAACTAAAGTCCCTTGCTCACAGCCATAGCTCAAGTCATTGTAAGAGGCTGCCTTTCTTTTATGAAACAAGCTCAGAGAACTCCTAGGTCCTTGTTTGGACCTCCTAGGTCCTTTCTATAAGATTGCTTTGGCGTAGTGATTTTTTTTCTCTTAGTATTTATGGGCAAACTCTTCTCAAGATGATTTTTGATTAGTGTAAGATCTGCTGCTGCCACAATAAATAAAACTATGGATAGCTTAGTATTTAGTAGGTGTACGTATGACCTAAAGTCCTGTTTGTAACATTTATATAACTGAATCACTTGATGCATTTTTGTTACAGTACAAAGTAACACATGAAACACTGCCAATAGAAAAAAAAGCAGAAGAAACTACTAGGCACTTTCTTGGCATACTGCCTTGAGAAAGCTAACCACAACTTCACTGATACAAACTAAGCCAGCTCATGCTGATACAACTATCTTTCCCACTCTGAATAGGCCTATTTTTTTAATTAACATCTTTGCAAATGTCAGCCTTGTTACAGTATGTCTATGTTTCTAGCCTGCATCTTTATATTTTACAAAATCCATGTAGGACCAACTTGGCATCCTGAACATTTAACAAATTATTCTACATGGGCTAAAAGGTGTAATATCCAGGTTATGGTAACTTGAAATTTTTGTGTTTATTTTTAACTTCAAGGTCTAACCAGTGTATATTCCATTTAGATTTAATGCTAATTAAGGTTCTTTGCTGAATTGAAATATAATCTCTTGTACATAATAAAACAATGAGAGATCATTTTCTATATTTGTGACACTGATGCGAATATTTAATTTATTTGCATCCTTAAGACTCGCTATGCTTTGTTGATACCTTAGTGTCTTGCCAAAACTTAATGTCTACTTCCTACTTCTGTAGAAGTGAGTCAATATTGTCAATCAGATGATCAACGGACTATCACTGGCTAACTCTTTAAATCACAGCCTGTCCAGTCTAATCCTCAGGCCAATTCAACAGCCATACAACTGTATGTATGCTAGAGTCTAAAATGGCCAATATGGAATTGTTCTCATTGTGTTTTATTAAATCCAAACCAAACTAAGTACTCAGAGAACATTGATTGCTTCTTCCTAAAGTTATATCCTATGCATGTTTTCATATGTACTTTGTATAATATAATTTTCTTGAAAATGAAATATATTTATATAAGGATCTGCAGAAGACAATATTACCTAAAGAAAATTATATTGCATTGGCGCCAGGGTCGGCTTCAGTTTTTTTGCTGCCCCAAGCGGCAAAGCAGGGGGAAAAAAAAAAGAATGATAAAACCGTGACCGGCGGCATTTCGGCAGCAGCTCTACCGTACCACTTCATTCTTCAGCGGCAATTCAGCGGCGAGTCCTTCGGTCCGAGAGGGACTGAGGGACCCGCCGCCGAATTGCCGCCGAAGACCCGGACGTGCTGCCCCTTTCCATTGGCCGCCCCAGGCACCTGCTTTCTTCGCTGGTGCCTGGAGCTGGCCCTCATTAGAGCTATGTCAGTTTACACCAAATGAAGACTTTGTCCTTTGAGTCTTTGTGAAGAGGAAGGAAAAACTCGATGCACACACCCGACCTATTTCATTTTAAAAGAATATTCACTAACATAATTATATGCATTCAAGCATTTGGGTTAATGTGACAAGGGAGACAACAGTCCATGTACATGTGCAATATGTTATGCAGAATGTTATACCCATAGTAATATTTAATATATCCTATATGTGCCTTTCAGCCACTATTTCACAGAAAATAAAGCTACAGTCACTTACAAATTCGGTCACATAAAATAGTTTGCAATTTTGTACCTTCTGCCAAGTCATCTATAGGTTACCAAAATGATGAATTATATATTGCAGTGAAAGCATTAGAACATAAGAACATAAGAACGGCCATACTGGGTCAGACCAAAGGCCCATCTAGCCCAGATTCCTGTCTTCTGATAGTGGCCAATGCCAGGTGCTTCAGAGAGAATGAACAGAACAGGGAATCATCAAGTGATCCATCCCCTGTCGCCCATTCCCAGCTTCTGGCAAAGACTTACAATGTTTAAGAAAGTTTTAGAAAAAAAGGACTACTGTACTTGATAAATTCACCTTTCAGTGACTCATGCCAGAAATCCATAGTGTTTCATTACTGAATTAACCTTGGTATTAGAAACAGATACTTTCAATACATATATCCATTCAGTTAAATTCAAGTTTATTAGGCTAAATCCACTAAATCAGAATTTGTTTTTTTTAACACTGCATGTACTTGTCTTTAATGGATACTCTTGCATTCATCAAGTACAAGAGGCACAAGACAGAGGGGAATCGGTCTCTTTTAATTACCCTCGCCTATACTAAAGTAGTTCTACTATTGAGTTTTTAATTGTTCAGAATGTCTCTTAAATTAAGTATCAGACTAATATCCATGTAATCCCACAAAATGAGAAAACGTATGCTGAACCTGTTAGTGACTACAGCTATTTTTGCCATGACTCAAAATTCCATATATGCAAATATTAAATTACTGAAATTGTACATTGGTTCCTCTGCATCATTTTTATTAATCCTTATTTGGCTGAATGTTTTAATCTTACTTCTACAGTGACTAACAGACACATTTCTAATATTATAAATAGGAAGAGCGTAGGGACTAAAGCTGAATACATTAAAATCAGTCCGTTTGCTAGTTAGCATATTTCCATCCCTTTTATGTACAAACCTATTGCATTCAGTAAGCAGATTGAAAATTCATGGCCTTATAAAAACATAGTCCTGATTTCATGTTCTGACAGTAGAAATCGTCCAGAATCTCTGTTTCCTCTAAAGGACCCTCCCTAGCTGGTACTTTCCAGGTGCAGAGCAATCTGAATCAGAGGTGAACACCATGTCAAATTCCACTCATCTGTCAATGTACTGGATTATTTCTTGAGAGACTGAAATTGGCTGCCTGGGATCAGAACACCATCAATCTTACTCATGCAGGGTGCGGAGTAGCTGCCTGAGAAAGGCTCGCAAGAGGAAAATCTCTGAGGTTCCTAAGCAGGTGATGAGGCAGCTGTAAAACCTTCACTATATCTGTATCACAGCTCTGAGTGAAAGATTTGTCATTTTCCACATTTCCCCAATACTTGGTATGCATTCAGTGTGTGACTGTTCTTGCTTCATAAAAGAAGTGATTTTTCAAGCTTAGGCAAATGTGGCAAAGCTCTGGATCGGCCAGGCTCTCATTTTTTCTCACAATGTCTCTTGTTTCAACAGATTTTACAAAATGAGATTACATTTTCCTTTTACCTATTTTGTTTGTTTGTTTGTTTGTTTAGCCAGGGGACAGTCTCAAATCACCAATGGTGATTTCACCGTTGTGTCTTAATGGGCATTTCTCTGTGTATTCCAAAAAAGAACATCCAAAACGGGATGTATTCCCTAACTTTAAAACGCCGGCTACTAAAGCCAACACAAAACACATAATAGTTGTTCATTAGATAAAGCCTGTGAGTCAAATTTTTAGAACCATTCCCCTCCAGGCTATGATTATACTTATTTTATGTTACATTATTGAGAGATGGCAAGAAGATATCAAATAAAAAAAAACCCTGTCACTTTTGGGCAGTGAAAACAATTGGGGAAAAAAACGTTTCAGCATATTAGACCCGCTAAAGATTAAGGGCAATTTTATTCAAATGTGCCTAAGTGATTTAGGAGGCTAAGCCCTATCACTTTTGAAAATGTTAGCCTTATTCTAATTCTGCTTTGATCTACCTGCTTCTGCAAATTAAATAATGTGTAATTACCAGCTAATAGTCTCTGTTTCATCTCTAATTCTCTTGGGAAGAACTTTCACTCCTTTCCTTGGGTTCAGAGTATGTGAAATTACAACATGAGGCTCTCTCGTTTCTAACTTATTGGTAATAATGAGCTTTAATATGCCATTTCTTCAACATTTTGCATATGATATGTGGTTCACAAAGTAATTACCGTTGAAAATTAACACCAACAATTTCTGTTTGAAGAATGTCAAAGTAAAGAAGATATTTATACAGAGTTTCTGATGTGTCAATGAAAATCAGTTGACTTTTCCGTTCCATACACAAAGAAACTAAAACCTGCTCTCAGTAACACCCATCCAGCCCCACTGAAACCCAGGCCTGAATTCTACTCAGAGTTGCACCTTTGCAACCTCATGGTCATCAGTAAGATTAAAACTTCTAGGCCAAATTCTGCTCTCATCTAGACCCAGTCCATCCCACTGACCTCAGGAAGAGTGAAAAGGCTCAGCTATTATCAGAAGTTGGCTCATACCAGTGCAAGTGTACAATTTGTGCCCAGACTGGCATAGATACAGCAAATAAAGTTACACAAAGCTCTGCCACCAGGATTTCTTCTGGGGGACAAAACTTATTCTGGTATTACACAGACAAATAAATAAACAAACAGAGAAATTAAATTCTTATCTAAAATGGGTTTCCCGTGATCAGCCTCCTGAGTTGAGAAGGTGTTAGAAAAGGATGTTAACAGGAGGCATATACCAATACCAAACGGGCATACATTAGGCTGATCAGAAAGATACTCTGAGATACGTAGACAAACAACTCATAAACGTTCAATAACAAAATGGGACTTTTATGATTATTCAACCATTTATCAAGGCAGACAAGTGCACGGATAGAGTGCCTGTAATCTTACAACATCCTGTAGCTGATTGGTCCTACCTGGTCTGTGCAGGTGATGCTGCTGGAAAGTGTGATGAAGAGACCCCTGACAGAGCAGCATTGCACAGGCACTTATCCACAAATACAGGACCCAAGACATTGCAGAGACCATTGCCATTCTCTAAATGAAATATTAGACAGGCATTATTATATATAGCCTTAGAGCACACACAGTATTTAGCAGTGATTACAACAGTATTTTTACCTTTATAATGTCTTTGTTTCTTTCCTTTCCCACCCTCTGATCCCCCCCACCCCTTGCAGGCTGCAATGGTTATATGACAAAGGTCGTGTCAAAAACAAGGAGAGTTGAGGTAAAGAGATGTCAGCATGGGAGACTTGGTAACTTTAATAATTCAGTGGCACAAATGAAACTATAATGATCCAAGTACTTGAAGAAAAACAACATAAATAGAAGCCAGGGAAATATTCCCACTCTGTTCTGCAATTTAACTTACCAGGGGGGAAATTACAATACAATCCAAAAAAAAAATGAGCTCCTCAGACAGTATCAAAACTACTTTAAATACATTACAGATAGTCATACAACATTATCAGAGATCTGAGATGCATTTTAAGCATCCTCCATCCCCAAGGCTGCAAGGCAAATACCTACCCACTAGGTAACAGATTATTGTTTTTGACTTCTGTGCACATTAATTTTTAATTGCAATGAATGCTGTCTGCTAAACAAAGTAATTGTTTCTCAGAATTGTGTTCTAGTCCCCAGATAAAATCAGCTTCCTTTTGTTTGGCCTATGCTCATAAAGAACAATAGTAAGGGCAGACTGAATTTTATATGTAGCAAATAGGAGGTTTGATCTTTTCATAAGGTAGAGTGTGTCAAAATTTAAAGACAGACTCTTGCTGAAAAGGAATGGTGTACTTCTTTCTCAGTCTCCCAATGCTGGCACACTTGACTACTTGATATATTATATGTGGTGGATATTTCCATACATTTATTATTATACTAATTGGTTAAATTTTCTCAGTCTTTGTGACTTTAACAGCTCCTTCTCAATACCTGCAAGGATTGTAGAATTTGCAAGGCTCAGCTACGCTACATATCGTCCAGTTCCTTTAATAACACCTTCTGCTGCATTTCATATTGCCAAATTAATCAAACTTCAGGCATTCTCCTTATTCAGCCAATAACATGATGCCACTTTCTATCTAATAATCCAATCAGCAGAACATCATGTTCACTGAGGATGGAAGACTTTAAAGCTAAAAATCTTCTCTTCACACTGAACATTTAGGAAAGATCGAGGCGACCAATGTAAAATCCAAAAAATGACCTATCAGCAGCATTTCTTTATTGGGGAAATACACACTATTAAAAATAATAGGGATGCTTAAGTGTCAATAAAATATATGCACAGATCATTTTTGTTATTTTAATAAATAAGCATGGTATTTGAGGATTGTTTTAAAGACTAATGGACGAAAATCCCCCAAATAAACTGACAAGTATAATTAACTGCAAAATAGCAAAACATTATTTTCCTCACCATGAGGCTATTTGTTTCCCTGTTCTGTGTATCTGATGCACTACTCAGCATATAATTAGTTTTCCTTCCTACTGTTTACTTTTGTATACTTTCCCTCCTTTGTTTTCGGATTGAGTAATAGTGCAACATGGATTCAACCCCCTCCAAACAGATAGCTCACAATGTCTTCAGAAATTAATGCTTTTTTTAGTCATTTCTGGGGCTCCCATGCTTTCGTACAATGACATAAAAGGGAAAGGTGACTCTAACATGCATTGATATTTCAAGCATAAAGTGCTCTTATTTAACCTGAACTTTAAAATCCTAGCCAAACAGTGAAGCAAAGCCAAACTTCTACAGTCTCCCAATAGCTCCTATTTATTTTTTTTAAATGTGTCCAGGGATCATATTCTTAATCACACTGAATAGATGACTTTAAAATCCCCCCCCCACATTTTCACTCTTAGACTACTACATCTTTTCCATCCTTCCTCAAACTACGTTATTTTAATTAACTTTGTTCAAGCCCCAACATTCCTTCCTTACTAGCATTTCATTTCTTCATGTACTTGTTAGTCAGCTCACTACAACTGCTGTCGAACACACTGTTTTTATGCAAAGAGAGCCTCTTGCTAATATAAATATATATATATATACACACACACATACACACACAACAGCGAGTATTCCTCCATTTATTATCAGATGAGTTCAAGATCTGCTTTCTGAATCTTAAATCCTAAAGAAGCTCCTTACCTGAGTAATCCAACCAAGAGCAGAGTACTCTATTAGTGTTCATTGGAAAGATCTAACACTTTTTAAAATCCATCTGTACCACAATAAGGGATTTTAAATAGCTTCCCAATAATCTTCTTTATCAGGATTAAAAAAAAAAATTCTTTTTCGTTACCAATCCTATTCCCAGAGTAAAGAAGACATCAGAGCTCTCAGACTGTGTTGTCAGAAAAGTGGCCAAGGTTTGAGGGGTGGAAACCTTGTCATTTTCACCTTTAAATCATCTCCTAACGTCACCTTCTGCTTGATGAGACCTTTGAAGTGATCTTGAGATAATTTGCAGCTTCCAGTGTACTTAAAGATGAGGATCAGTTTATGTTTAATGACAGAGCAGCCTCACTACAGTGCATTCAATGCAGAGTAAAGCAGCTGTATGTACAAAGCAGGATTGCTATACAATGCTGTAAGTACCGGTAGTCTATTTCAATACATCCCTGCTCTGTAAAGTATCACATGTCTTAAAGTGACATTACCTCTATTACAAGCTACAATGAATTGCTATACTAGCCCACGATCTCTTAACAACTGGAGTAGCATTTAAATGCCAGCACATCTGATATTTTTTACATTATATATATAAATAAAGAAAAACTCCTTTTCACCACAAGGAGGGCATGTCTGAAAAGAAAAGAATGGGCAGAAAAGTGTGACACAAGAGGACTACCAGTGTATGTGGAAAGACAAAACACTTTACTTGCAGTAGCCAATGGGAAATTAGAGACCCTTTAATTGCATTTACTGACCCTTTACTCTCAGGGCTCATTCTTCCACAGATTTGCTAGAAATAATCCATAAAGTCAGTCCACAGATTTAAGGACGTCTATTTAATTTCACAAGTTAGAAAGCAACATATATTTGTGAGAGTGTCTTTTCGGGGGTAAGGGGGGGGGAATACAAAGGGAGGGCGGGAAGGTGACGAGTCCCATACACTTGTATAAGCTGTCCAAAAGCTTGTCCCAATGCTCAGTAAAATCTTCTCTTCTAACCCCCAATCATTTTGAAGGTACCTCAGGATGCAATGGAAAAAGAATACCCTCCACTCCTTCAACATCCTACCAAATGCTTAAGCTCTGACATGACAAATTATTTATTACAGTCATTTATTTATTGCCCACATCTTAAGTGGCTGTTTACAGGAATGTACTGCTTTTTCCCGTCTTGAGCTATATGTAATTATTTTTTAAACAGCATTTTATATACTCACTACACCACTAAATACTACTTGGATAACATTAAGGCTCTGACTTAAGCCTACAAAAAGCCAAGCATATTGGAAGTTAAAGCTGAAACCTTCACTTTAAGTGCACGGCGCCTAAGTAATACAGTACATACGATAATATGTAAGAACACCTTCTTTGTAACACAATGTGTTTTAATCATTTCTGGCATAAAAAAGATCCTACTTTCATTGCTTACCAAATGCATACACCAAACAATAATAATAATTACCTGTACTATCAAACACTTCCTTTCCAAACATTCAGAGTGCACAGCTCTCCTGGAGAGTCTTATTAAGAAGGTGCTTTGTGATTACTTGACTGATTTTAATGCCTCCTTTGGAGCTATTATATTTTATTGTGTAATACATATGAAGAGACTGGCCCGACAGACTGACAGAGCCATTACATTGATCTGTGAGACAATGCGTCATAACCGCTCTTTATTACAGCCCCGATATAATAATGCAATAGGGGCGTGACTTGCACTGACAGAGAAGGGAATTCAAGAGTTTATCGTTTCAGCGCCATCCTGAATTCACCACAATGTGGGTCACTGTTGTAGAACATACAGCTGAGCTATGCTTAGTACAGAACCCAGAGTGGGCGAGGACAAACTTGCTATTATGCCAACATTGTGGTTCCACAACCCCAGGAGTCCATGGGGACTGGTTCAGCCTCCTTAGGACTGCTCTAATTTATACTCAACTCCCTACAGCCCAGAGGGCCGTCTAGCAACCAGGACTAGTAGAAATGCAGAGCTGTTGCAGGCACACTCTTTCCCTGTAGCTGCTCCCACCCCATGGCAGAGACTGTGAGTGGATTGACACACCGAGGGAATCCCCAGGTGGCCAGATTGATTAGGTCTATTACCCCTTTGCATCAGCAGAGCCACGAATAAGACCCATGTTATTGCTTTGAGACCCTAAACATGCTCTAGGCATAATAGGGTGAGTAAACATTAACTCTAAGCTGGAGTTTCTCCAACCCTTAATGTCATTAGAAAGTTGGTTTAATATTAAATTTCCTTTGTTGTTTCGCAGGGTGTTGGGCCAAATTCAATAGCAATGGAAACACTGGTGTAAGGGGTAAGGGTAGTGTAGTGTGCACCCGTTTGGCAGTGAGCAGTGTACAAAATAAGTGTTACTTGTACAGCATTAGATGACTCGGCTGTTCAAAACCCATGAGGCAGGCCACCAAAAATCATCAGATAGGCTTAAAAATTTTTTAATGGGTTATTATGTTTGCCTATGTTTTCCAGTTACCAGTGCTCCACTGCCATGAGGGCTAAAAACATATTTTCTAAGAAAAGAAAGCCGAGAGTCTCACATGAGCACATGACTCCAGAAACTGGGGCTTTAAGAATACCAAATATCATGAGGCTCCCAACGAGTTGATGTGTTGTCAAGGCTGCTTCTAAAGATGTGTGGCAGGAAAATAGCTGCCAGAAACATATAAGGAATCAGCCCTTTTCTTCTACCACTTACTTTCTCTTACACTTTCCTAGTGGTGGTTTTTCCTGCTACAATTCCTGTAGTGACCCACTTCCGCTTAAAAATTAAGCTACATGGTTCACCTACAGAATGCTGGGTCGGGGCAAGTTTCACTAGTCGTAGCATTTACATCCATGGTCTACCTTGGCCTATCATTTACACTCCCACTAAATTTCGCCCTGAATTTTCCCAAGGACTGATTTATTATTTTTAGACAAACTTTTAAAAAAAAATAAATAGGAGTCCTCCTGTTTGGCAATATAGTGGCAATACTCACTGCAAGGGACACAGAACCATTGTATTTGTTTGTTTTTCAGTAGGAAGCGGACTCTGAATATTCATGCTTTTAAAAGTCTACGGTGTCTTTTAGGTATTTTCAGTCAAGGTATGTAATACTGTGCAGCTGTTCATCCTGATCTCCAGTGGAACGACGTTATTTCCCTGGACTTTCCCTAGGTTTTTACTGAAGCTGGCAGTGGCTCGGTGGCAGGGGTCACTCACTCCTATGACTGTCCTCACCCATTTACTCAGCTCCTGGGAGGGGTTTGGGGAGCCAACAGCATGTGCAGGAAGACATTGCATGGAGTGGAAGAGAGGGAGGTATATAGGAGCTACAAGAAGACAGGAGCATGGGAAGGCCAGGAAGGGTATCTGTGGAAACTGCTCCCAAAGAGAGGATCTACAGGTGATAGGAGCAGTCACTGAGGATGGTGGGTTCTTGGGTAGCAAGAGTCTGGTAGAGCTGTGGGGAGCGGATGCTGCAGCAAGTCACTGATAAGGAGTGGTCTGGAAAAGCTGGTAGGAGAGAAGGTGGGGGGGTTAAAGTCCTCTGGGGGACAGTGTGGAGCAGCTGCTGTTGTTATTATTTAAGGGTGCTGGCTATAGCTGGAGAGTTCAAAATGTCACCCCTAATGCAGGGCTCTCCTGAATCCCGAGCCGAGAGCTGCTGGCTGTATTTTAGCTTGGGTGCCAGTATGCAGAAGTAAGGAACCTGTTTAGCACAAGCTCTTCCCCACCACAGTGTGTGAGCAATACAGGGCTGGCGGTGTTTGGGGGAGGCGAAGAGGGGACGTGGGAGAAGGGGAGCTGCAGCGGTGCCTTGGAAAGAGGAGAAGAGAAGGGGTTCAGGAGGGAATTCCCAGAGAGGAGCTCCTCTGGAGGCAGGAAGGGGTAGGGGGGTAAATGATCAGGCCACACACCTTAGCAGGGTAGGCGCTGGCAGATCAATGCAAGGTACACATTTATGTACGGTACAATGTAACTGTCAGCCTGCCAAGTGCTGCTAACTCGCAGCGCAAAGAGGCTAATGCCACCACAACCTCTAACAGCTGCCGCTATGGCATAGGACAAGCTCTTCAGAAACAAGGGACGTGTTGCTTTCATGAGGGGAGGGAATATTAAATAGCCTGCGCTTTTCATCTCTCCCCTGCCCTGGCTCCTGGCATCGCAGACATGAACAGAGGAGTCGTTGGCAAGTCCTGCCGTGGCATTCTCACACCTGCTTTGATGTCTTTTCTGCCAATTCCAACTTTCAATGGACCGACAAGGCGTGGGAAGGCTCCGCTTGCCTTGTTCCAGCCAGATACAGTGTCATCTTTCCCAGCTCCTGACAACTGGCTCTGAGCACGTTGCCTATCCAGTTTAGATGTCAGCAGCTTCTAGGGGAGAGGGAGAAAGACCGAGAGCCCTCGGGTCAAATTCAGGGCTGCAAATTTAGGAGCGATGATAGAAGAGAGAGAAAAATATTATCAGTGTGAATGTTGAACGGCTGCTGCAAATGCCGTCAGTGCAAAACTTACAGAAAAGTGAGCTGCCTCGCAAAAGGAATCCAAGAGGAGGAATCCGAGAGACGCCCAGGGTTGGGGGTGAAATGGCAGCTCCAGCCAGAGAGGCGGGCAGGAGGGATCAAATCCCTACTGAGGGGTGGGATAAACACCTCTGCGACAGGCAAGGGTAGGTGGCTCTGCTGTTCCCTGGATGTCCCCCAGGCATGGCTTGAGACCGTTTTAAACACAGCAGGCATGTCAGGACATGTTTCCTGCTAGATTATTATGGTCTATGCCACAGCCTTGGGGATGGAGGGGAGGAGGAGGGAGCAGACGCAACAAATATATAGAGCTAAAAAGGCCTACAGGTGGCACAGTCAGGTCAGTCAGCCTCTGAAAGGGCAGCTGCATCCAGAGGAGGGCCAGCACCTCGCAGAGGAAGGGAAGAAGGTTCCAACTAAACCAGATCCAGCCAGCAAATCAAATCACATGGCCCAGAAACCCCACTGGAAGGGGTCACTCCACAGGCTCCTCTTGTATGTGCTTCTGTCTTCCCACTCCATGTCCCTCTTCCCCAGTTGCGAGAGGGGAATTCAAAGGCGAAGATGGGTGCAGGCAGCCATTTTCCAGCTGACTTTCATAGGGTCCTGAAGTCAGGAAAGGTTGG